CCCTGAACTCTGTTCGTCATCGATCAGGTTTATTATCAGCCACTTTTACCCGAAGAACGACACGATTGATCGTAATTACAGATACCGCGATTCAGGTTTTACGATTCCCATGGCCTACTTGGGAGCAATCAAGTACAGGAACAAGATTATTACTGTACAAGTAAACTCATGAACGAAATTCATTACGGACACGCTAAAGTGTTATTATATTTCATTTCAATTAAAATATTGTACGTGTTTCTTTTGGTTACCTGAGAAAGCTACGTGACGCATCGATGTATCGTAAAATTAATCAAGACTTGTATATTAATTTATTTGTAATCGTGAAATTCAAAACGTTATGTCAGAAATACTTCACGTCATCTTACATAACTTTCTTTTGAATAAATTCGGCTTTGTTTAGAACTTGTTACCTTCAAACGTTTATAATTTATTGAATACGATGCTTGAATTTTTCTTAATGTCTGCTTGTAAGAATATCGCTCGTATCAATTAAAATCGCATAAATCTTACTTTGCGAGAGAAAACGACGACAAAATCGAATCACGATAGCAACAGGAAACAGAAGCAGTCAACCGGTTGATGTCAAGTCGGAACGAGAAACAACGCGGTGCATTGTTCTATGATGTATCGGTACGTGTTGAAACTTTCTACTATAAAAGCATCGCAACAGCCAACCGAGTTAAGAACCGATCGAAACATCGTCAACCAGAAAAAGAAAAAAAAAATTTTTCGATGCGTGGCCCGATAATTTACTAGATTGGAAACTCGGCACCGTTACATTTTCTGCTTGTTCTCGTATCATTGTACCTTGCTTTTTCTTTCCTAATTTTCAATTTTTTTTATAGTTATATTATTTATCTTGATACAAGGTTAAATTAAACTTACAAATATACTGCACATTTTTTTTCTTATTTTTCTTTAATAATGGTCTTATGTCATATAATGGACTATAAAGTTTGATCGTTAATTTGAAATGATTCTGTGTGCCTATAAGAGTGTAAGCTGATTACAGTTGTAATCATTCAATAAATATAATGACTGAAGATTAAGTTCAGAGTATATAGGCTGTTTTATGACGAGCAGTTAATTGGAGATAAACTATTTAACTTTTTTAATATTTATTTACGATTTATTAACTGTTACAATTTATTAGAATTCATTAAAACTTTTCATTACAATTTATTACAATTTATCACTACAATTTCTTACAATTTATTACAATTCATCATAATTTGTTAAAATTTATTAAAATTCATAACAATTTATTATAACCATTCCTAATGTAATAATTTACTATTTTTAATTAACAAAAGAATGACCACGTCCAACGTCAGTCATTCAATACCTCACTTTCCTGAACGTATATACATTTTATTCGTGTATCCTGTGTAACGTTTTGATTTTATGATTAATGAACGCTTCCTGTTGACTCCACAGATATACGTCTAAGATATCGTTGAATCCCGAGTGAAATTTCAGGCATACAAAAGAAAGGCTATCGATATTGCGTTTTTCATCCATGTGATTTGCATAACTTGACGACAGGGTTTACATTCCCGAGATACATTAATTTTATAGGAGTAGCAAGATTATTTAAGATATAGGAATATTAAGTTTTTCTAAATTAAAATCTTCTTTGCCGTTTGCCGCCTGATAAGTGCTTTAGATTATATGCAAAACATAGTACGTCGTTGCAAAACATTTACATGCAAAATTAGACGTATAATTTCATCCTGAAAATTACTTGAAAAACGCTCGTGAAAAGGTGTTTCGCATATTTAAAGTGGTTGAAAAGAAACGTATTTATTTTCATCGTGCTGCTTTCTATGCGAAGTGTTTCGTGTTTCCATTTACGTTAAAACAAATTAGCGATTCCGGTGGCAATTTATTGTTTCTCTTGTCGTGTAATTGGAGTCTTCGCACGACCTGAAAAGAGCAGAAAATCGACACTTCGCTTAGAGACACGGATGTGGGTTTCTATAGTGGTATCTGACAAGTAAGGAATTCAAGCTCTTCGAGTAAATATTTGCACTTCAGTCCGAAGAAAACGGCACATGTGTTCTCTAAACTTGAAATTTCCTTTTAAGAAATTTCTATAAATTCAACTTTCTGAAAGTCAATCAATAAATCATGGACGTCACATGAATACAAATTTATAATTAAAATATAGTACAATTCTATAGATCTTTAGAAAATTATCTAAAAATTTGTCAAGATACAATAATGTATATATTCAGTTTTTATATACAAGATTATTTAAAAATTTGTCAAAAGATAAAAATGTATGCATTCAATTTTTGTATATAAAAAATTGTCTAAAAATTTGTCAAGGGATAAAAGTATACATGCTCACTTGTTATATGAAAAATTATTTAAAAATTTGTCAAGATACAATAACGTATATATTCAATTTTTACATACAAGATTATTTAAAAATTTGTCAAAAGATAAAAATGTATGCATTCAATTTGTATATATAAAAAATTATTTAAAAATTTGTCAAGAGATAAAAATATACATATTCACTTCTTATATGAAAAATTATTTAAAAATTTGTCAAGATACAATAATGTATATATTCAATTTTTATATACAAGATTATTTAAAAATTTGTCAAAAGATAAAAATGTATGCATTCAATTTGTATATATAAAAAATTATTTAAAAATTTGTCAAGAGATAAAAATATACATATTCACTTCTTATATGAAAAATTATTTAAAAATTTGTCAAGATACAATAATGTATATATTCAATTTTTATATACAAGATTATTTAACAATTTGTCAAAAGATAAAAATGTATGCATTCAATTTGTATATATGAAAAATTATTTAAAAATTTGTCAAGAGATAAAAATGTCTATTCAGGTCCTGTTTCATGCATTTGCATGAACATTCCCGAATTATTAATCGAGTATCAAATGCTGTATTATGTAATATCATTTTTAATTAATTCGTTTGAACATGATATCTAATATGTGGAGTCTTAATAAGTAATTTGTAAGCGGACCAGTTCTTTTCGAGCGAATTCGAGCCATTGTTCTCGCGTACGAAATACTCGGCAGGAAAAAAGCAAAGTGGTTGAAAGTAACACGGTGCAATAGCAAACCGCGAGTAGTAGTTGCTTGCTACTAAGAGATAAGTAGAACAATTGCACGTAATCGTACGCAATCTATCGGAGAAAGTGGGCTAATGCGAGCTAAGGATAGTGGTAACGTATACCTTTGTTCTTCGCTGATTTCAGCTGATTATGAGTAAAATAGTCGCGTGAACAAAAGAATTTCTGACACAGACATCATCGGTGACTGGCGCCAGGAAGTAAGAGTATTTCAACTAATTTTCTGTTAACATTGTTTTTTAAATATTATTTCAATCTAATGCGCGATCTTAATATAACATGAACCTGTAATTTGTTGGATGTGTGATGAATGAACGCGATTACTTGATAACGTAATAATGTGAGCACTGGTTTCAATGAAATTACGTTGTGTTAAATACTGGTGGTACTTTGTGAAGTAATGTTTTGATTCTGCTGTATTATCGTTAGCGTAATAAAACTGGTGTGCTAACATCAGGCTTTTGAAAGATCGAGGACGTTTCACTTTACACTGTTGCAAAAGATTTTTGACAGAAAGGAATGTTGAATAAAGAAATTACATATGATGTCATTTTAGTCTTCTTTAAATATTGAATGAAAGATTGAATACAACTTAGTGTTAACTAGTAGTCAATTTTTAAATTTTTAAATTATTTCAAATGTTCAAACTTTTAAATTTTCTCTATACGACAATGATAACATTTCAAATGTACAAACGTTCAAATTTTTAAATCTCCAAATATCTCAATTTAAAAATTTCTACAATAGGTTAATAGTAATCAATCTATCAATAATTTGGAAAATTCCAAATCTTCAAACGTCCGCATTTCAAAATTTCCTGCACAGTAATTTTCCAGTAGTGAATGCTACAGTTTCACAGAATTATCTACATCATCTACAGTAGTCTAAACTTTGTAGCAAGTCATCCAATAAATCGCGCGCTCCTTTTCTGAATATCTGAATATCATTCTGATTACCATCTCCGAATGATAAACGAGTGCATAAACCATGAAATCTTAAGTATCAAATTAATGTCATCTAATGAGCTGGAAAGCGTGTAAGATGTATACATCGAAGCGTACGATTATTAATCGTACGAATATTCGAAAGTATGTACCCCCAAGCCAGGTAGCGCTGTTCGATTTATCGACTTTAAATTTGAGCAGGTACCGTTATCGGAAATGATCTTCGAAAGTTTTGCTCCTTGTTGGGAGGCTGAGAATTAAGTTATGCTTTTACGAGCGAGAGTCGTGTAATTAAAGGGCGCGTTTCGTTGACCGACGAAATTGTCGGCCGTAAAATTAATGAATACGGCAAAATGTAAATTATACTGTTGTGACAGTTTCATCTTCATAATTCGTGAAGATCAAACATAATTAAGCGGATTGAAAATTTCAATTTCAGCGATCGTCAGGTGTACAAATATGTATTACTGTATTAAATATAATATGTAGCATGTTGCCACGTATGAATCTATATGTAGTATGTTGTCACATATGAATCTATAATAACAATCAATTTTTGGACTTGACTAGGTTGATCAAGAAATATTCTCTCATATTGTCATGCGTGGAGATTTAAGCGTGTGATATTCCAATGCGTGGTGATCTAGCGCGTTGCAATTTATTGTATGGGGTGATCTAACGCGTGGTGATCTACCTATGTAGTAATATAACGCGTGGTGGACATTTAAGCGTGTGGTGTTCCCACACGTGGTGATCTAACACGTAGCAATTTAAGCGTGTGGTGTTCCCACACGTGGTGATCTAAGATGACTTACTTGTTAACTATTAAAATGACAAATAATAACGCATTGAATAATACCTTGAATATTACAATTTTAATAATACCTTGAATATTACAATTAATAATACCACGATTTAATTAAATGATTTCAGGTACTCCAACGCGACATAGAGGCACACGGTCGTATCGTCAGCTCCGTTGTAAAATTGGGCGACAAGGTTTATACACAACAGTTAGAGCAACAGAAAAAGCAAGAACAAGAGGAACAAGATAAAGAAGAGAAAAAGGAACAACAGGAACAACGAGAACCGCCACAAGCTTTACGAATCGCAAGATCACTGGAACGCCGCTGGCATTTATTATTTCTACGTGCCTTGGAATGGCAATGTCACATTGAAACGCTCGTATCTCGCATAAGCAGCAAGGTAAGTCCCCATTTCTCTTTTTACGATACCGAACAAATATTCAGGTTGTAATAGTAGTAGTCTAACCCATAGACTATAACCTAGTAATCTAATCACTAGTCTGCAGAGTACATTAACTCAGAATGGTATAACCTATGGCGACTTAACGCATTACGATGTGACATGTGTCGATCTTTGTTGACGATTACATAGGTTACGCAGTGATTTAATGCGTGACGAAGTAAAAACGGAGCGATGCGTGGTGATCGATGTATGGTCACTTAACGCGTGGTGATCAATGTATGGTCATTTAACGCGTGGTGATCAATGTATGGTTATTTAACGCGTGGTGATCTAACGCGAGATGCGATACCTACATGGTAATACAACGCGTGGCGATTTAAGCGCGTGGTGCTCCAACGCATGGTGATGTAATTCGTAGCAATCTACTATACGAAGTTATCTAACGTTTGGTGATCCACTTACGTGGTGATATAACGCGTAGAGATTTAAGCGTGTGATGTTCCAACGCGTGGTGATCTAACGCGTTGCAATTTATTGTATGGGGTGGTCTAACGCGTGGTGATCTACCTATGTAGTAATATAACGCGTGGACATTTAAGCATATGGTGTTCCAACGCGTGGTGATCTAATGCGTAGCAATTTAAACGTGTGGTGTTCCCACACGTGGTGATCTAACACGTGATAATTTAACGCGCTGCAATTTACTATACGTAGTGCTGTAACGCGTGGTAATGTAACGTGCGGTAATCGAACGTGTAGTAAACGAACGCATGGTAATCGAACGTCTGGTAATCGATCGCGTGGTAATCGGACGCATGGTAATCGAACGTGTGGTAATCGTACGCGTGGTAATGGAATGTGTGGTAATCGAATGTATGGTAATCGGTCGCGTGGTAATCTAACACGTGGTAATCGCACATATGGTAATCGAACGCGTGGTAATCGAACGTGTGGTAATCTAACACATGGTAATCGCACTATATGATAATCGAACGTGTGGTAATCTAACACATGGTAATCGCACTATATGATAATCGAACGTGTGGTAATCTAACACATGGTAATCGCACTATATGATAATCGAACGTGTGGTAATCTAACACATGGTAATCGCACTATATGATAATCGAACGTGTGGTAATCTAACACATGGTAATCGCACTATATGATAATCGAACGTGTGGTAATCTAACACATGGTAATCGCACTATATGATAATCGAACGTGTGGTAATCTAACACATGGTAATCGCACTATATGATAATCGAACGTGTGGTAATCTAACACATGGTAATCGCACTATATGATAATCGAACGTGTGGTAATCTAACACATGGTAATCGCACTATATGATAATCGAACGTGTGGTAATCTAACACATGGTAATCGCACTATATGATAATCGAACGTGTGGTAATCTAACACATGGTAATCGCACTATATGATAATCGAACGTGTGGTAATCTAACACATGGTAATCGCACTATATGATAATCGAACGTGTGGTAATCTAACACATGGTAATCGCACTATATGATAATCGAACGTGTGGTAATCTAACACATGGTAATCGCACTATATGATAATCGAACGTGTGGTAATCTAACACATGGTAATCGCACTATATGATAATCGAACGTGTGGTAATCTAACACATGGTAATCGCACTATATGATAATCGAACGTGTGGTAATCTAACACATGGTAATCGCACTATATGATAATCGAACGTGTGGTAATCTAACACATGGTAATCGCACTATATGATAATCGAACGTGTGGTAATCTAACACATGGTAATCGCACTATATGATAATCGAACGTGTGGTAATCTAACACATGGTAATCGCACTATATGATAATCGAACGTGTGGTAATCTAACACATGGTAATCGCACTATATGATAATCGAACGTGTGGTAATCTAACACGTGGTAATCGCACATATGGTAATCGGTCGCGTGGTAATCGAACGTGTGGTAATCGGTCGCGTGGTAATCTAACACATGATAATCGAGCGTGTAGCAATCTAACGCGTGATAATCGAACGTGTAGCAATCTAACGCTTGATAATCCCACACGTGGTAATTTAACGCGTTTTAATTTCCCGCGTTGAAACCTACATACACAATGATTTAACGCGCAGCTAACTAATACGTATTCCAACCATTGTACCAGTCTGTGATACGTTACATCCCAAGCTGGATCCCGGAAGGTTAAAACTGCAAAATCTGTGATAATTTTCTTAGCGCATTTAGTATGTTAAAAGGATGATTAAGTTTCGCGCAGGTTCCGTAATTTTAGTGCAACGAGGAAGTTTGTTGGCCTGCGTGTAGGTGGCTTGTAAGTGAATATGATAATGCCAGAGAAGTCGTTTAATAGTTCCAGCGGTGGGTGTTCGTAGACGAGATGAGATTTGTGTGGCTGAACCGCGTCTTGTTCAACGGGATTAACAAGCAGCAGGAAGTTGAGGTTGATTTTCATCCGTTTCGTTCTTGCAGAATTTTTGCGAGCCGTAGGTGACCCACCGAGCTACTTTTTTCTTCACTGTCGTTGAGCGTAATCGTATACAGAATGGCATATGTAGGAATCGGCAAATAACTTAACACAATTTAATCTCTGTCACGATAATGTTATAGGATTTTCTGACAGTAAAAGCACGATTAGGGATATTAATAGTTTAGATAATTATATAGCACAGAACCGTTATCGCCGTTTTCATCTGATCTCACCTGTTCTGTACTGAATATATGACGGTAGTAAATGTCACATAGAAATGAAGTATGTGCACATACCAGGAATACTTAAAAAAAATACAAACCGATATACCGTGCCAAGTAAAATGTGAATGTAACTGAATCTTTTTATGAGTGAAACTAAGATTACGTATGATCGAGCAATAGTTACATATAATTATTAAAATTTATTACAATTAACAAAAGTGACAACAAGACATAATTATGTGCCCTCATCTTGCGCAATAATAATTTACATTTTAAACAAAAAATAATTTGTCATCTCACCGTTTAGAAATGTGAATGTTACTGTTCTTAACCGAATGGTTAATCCGGAATGCCAGAGCTCAAGTAAACTGTAACAACCTAAATCGGATATCGGTAAGAGCCGTAACAGGCACGAGAGCGTTGTTCCTGTTTTTACAGCAACATCGTTTCAGCGAAGCGAGCGAGACCGTGCTAAATATATAACTGGGTAAAAAGTGTCAGCTTGGCGAGGGAAATCGTTAATTATCAGGACGAATTACATCCGGCGAATGCTCACGAAGTATCGGCTATTGGTGACTCTACGTGTACCTTTCCTTCCCCTTTCCTTTTTTTTTCTTTATCAAATTGATCCTCGAGGAACGAAACGGCCATTTGTATCACCCCGAGCGTGTTCGCGTTGGTAAAACGATCCTGTGTCGTAAAGCTTGATTAACCCTTTCTCTGCGGATTCGTGATAAAATATATCGTGGACAAAATGTCCATAGAACTCTTATGTTCTCACCACTACTTTCATTATTTCCTATATGTTGCGATAAAGTTTATCATAGTTTACATTTTGACAAATTTGTCACAAAGTCCATTTACAAAGAAATAAAGATACTTTCAGTTCTTTGTAATTCGTTTATGATTCAGTTATGGATAAAAGTTAGTACAAGAGATAAAATAAAAATGCGAACGGATTTGTAATTTTCCTAAAAAAATTCGAAATGCGTCAAAATGATGCGTCCCGTAAACCTAGTGTTAAACACCTTTGACATATTCTAATTCGATTCAATTCAACCCGGATCCTATTAAATAACAGTACGAGAAACGACTCGCAAAGAAGAATTGAGTTCCACAGTTTAGCAAATATACGATTTTCGGAGCGAAAGAGTCAAGCTAAGTAATCAGTTCAGCGCGTGTACGCAAAGGCAACAACTCACGCGGAGTTTCACTCGGTTAAAAGCGTGACGATAGATGCACGGATTCGCGTAAAACTTTCTCGCAGGCGTACACCGCGTTCCGGCGTGCCGTGTCCTGATTTTGGACTTTTCACAGCTTCCTCCGTGTTGTACGACGAGTTTCAAAAACAGCTACCATGAAACTTTCATTGGCTGAAAAAGGAGCTCGAAAAGACTTTCGCCGGGTATCTGATGGAAATCGATGCAACGGGACGATTTGTGTGTTCAGCTTTTCAAAAAACAAAGTTCCATGATCGTATTGGAAAACAGATTTGTTGGAAGATACAGAGAGAAGGGTGTTTGCATGAGATGCAGGTTATAAATTCGGAAAAGGAAGAGAATTTTCACTTTTGTAAAGTGAAACGTGACATCACGTGTCTGTTTTCATCGACGAGCACGCGAAGTGCTTTGATGAATATTTTATTACGGTTTAGTGATAGAACAATTATAATAAGGAGGAACACTTTACTCATGTATATGTGTAGTATCGTTTGATTATCAGTTCACAATAGAAACACAAGTTATTCTCAAAATTTTTACTCAAATGTTATCTTCGTGTTTTCAGAATTTATGAAGTAAGATGAGATTTTTGTTCCCTCTTTTAATTTTCTTAATTTCTAGAATTCATTATTCAGCCAGTTTCTATTACTATTGATCGATGATTAATTTATGTGTTTGCTACAACTTTTAGACATGTACTCAGATAATTTTAGAAGTCGGTATAATTCATATCATTACAAGATATCGGTGTCATAGTAAATTGTTTTCTAACATAACACTTCTCACGCTGCTGTACTTGTTCATAATTATCCGCATATATGTTGTTTTCTGATCGAAAGATTTCTACGTAACTTAGTTCGCTATGGGTCACCGTTGATTGCTCGCTGCCGATAATCGCGTAGAAAATTACCTTCTTTATGCGATATTTAACGGTTTGGCTGTGTTGTACATACCAATGAAAGTGGAATATTTAGGTTAAGTTTCACTGTAGAAAATCGTGTGTTCACAACATCTTGTGTAGTTATGGGTCGACGGGTTTCGAGCGTACAATATC